TTGTTCATTAGGACATTTATGAAGGACCCATAATATTTAGGAGATTTGGGGCCTGTCGCCCGAATTCATGCAAATGACATGGACATATCACATGAAAAACCTAAGAATCATCCTGCACCTATTTATGGCCCTAAAACGCCAAAATATAAGAAACGGTCATGGATAATCGATGACTATTGTTTATTAGTTCATTTTTATGGCGCCGCAAAATTTTAGGAGATTCAAAGTCGTTCCCCCGAATTCTTGGAGATGGAATGAATTATATCTCACGAAAAATCTGTAAATCGACTTGAATTTCTATTTATGACCTAAAATGCCAAAAAACGAGGAACGACCTTGGCAAAGCTATGAATATTGTTCATTAGTTCATTTTTTATGGGCCACAAAATTTTAGGAGTTTTAGAGCCGATCACCCAAATTCATGCAGATGGCGTGGACTATAACACACTAAAATATGAAAAATGTCCTGAATTCCTATTTTATCGCCCTAAAACGCCAAAAAATGAGAAACGATCAAGGCGTAATGATTATTGTTTATTAGGTCATTTTTGATGGACTGACAAAATTATAGGATATTTGGGGCCAGTCGCTCGAATTCATATTGATGGCGTGGACTATAGCACATGAAAATAAAGGAATCATCCTGAATTCATGTTTATGGCCCTGATATGCTAATAAACGAGGAACGACCATGATGAAGCGATGACTATTGTTCATTAGATCGTTTTTATGGTCCCGTAAAATATTAGAAGATTGGGGGGTCGGCCATCCGAATTCATGAGATGGCGTGGACTATAGCACACGAAAAATTGTAAATTGTCCTCAATTTCAGTTTTATGATCATAAAATATCAAAAAATGGGAACAATTATGGCGAAGCAGTGACTATTATTCATTTAGATCATTTTCATGGCCTGTGAAATATTAGGAGATTGAGGGACGGTCGTCCGAATTCATGTATATGGCGTGGATTATAGCACACCAAAATATGATGATCGTCTTCAATTTCTGTTTTATGGCCTAAAACATCAAAAAGTTAGGAAAGGTCATTGCGAGCAATGACTTGTTCATTAGGTAATTTTTTATGGGCCTGTAAAATTTTAGGAGATTGGGGGTCGGTCGCGCGAATTCATGCAGATGGCGTGGACTTAGCACATGAAAATCTGGGAATCGTTTGATTTTCTATTTATGGTCCTAAAACGCCAAAAAACGAGGAACAATCATGGAGAAGCGATGATTATTATTCGTTAGGTCATTTTTATAGGTCCGCAAAATTTTTGGAGATTCCGGATCGATCACCCGATTTCATGCAGATGGCATGGAGCACACTAAAATTTGTGAATCGTCCTGAATTCGTGTTTTATGGGCCTTAAATGCAAAATATGCCCTTGGTGATGTCCTTGGAATTTTATATATGCTAATTTTCGCATATGTGAAAAATAAAAAACGGGTAATCCGATGCATAAGTTATCCCGCGTTCATGCAGGGTCCGAAGAAGATAATCTACTTTTCTTATGATGGAGACAACCTACCATAGTACAAGTATCAATGACTACTTGTACGGCTCGAACTCGTAACCTATAGGTCACACAAAAATAATTTTTTTATTGGTCCAATAAAAAAAATCTCATTCTCCATTTTTTTACCACTCATTTTCAATCGTTGACTTCTTAATTTATATCACCAAGGTTTATTGACATTTTTATCTTCGACCCATCTCTTCTGACCTGACCTGACCCGATTGAGCCGCTAATTTCAAGAGCAAAGTGTATCTTATGTCCTCCCAGGTAGGGCTGTTTAAAATCGAACAGTAACCGATAACCCAAATGCAAAATTGGCTTATCGATTTACTGTTATCAGGTTATGGGATTAACGGTTAGTGAATGATTGAAATTTTATAGTTATAAATTTAATGGTGTGGGGCGGATTAATCAATTTTCTTATGGGGTGAACCGTTAACCCATTAAAAATTATTATATTTACATTTCTATCCCTACTAGTTACGTTTGGCCCATGCTACGCCAGGGACCAATTATTAAATTTAAACTTTTCTTGTTATAGAAAAATTAGTCAATGTACAAGTTTAAATTTTGCTCAAATTTATTTTTCTTGCATAATGATTTATTACATTCTTGCCAAAAAAATATATTCTTAGCTCTTCGGTCATTATTAGTTAACTAAATTGTAGCATCTTTAAAGATTCTTTTAAGAATTCACTTCTTTTTCCTTTTAAACTAGAGAGTAGGGTTATGTAATTGTCGACATGATGTAACAAATGAGTTGGAAAGGATGAATATAAGATATTTTTCTAATAATCAAGTGTAACTAATTTCCTCTGTAATTTTTTATTGATTTTTCATATTATACCATATTAGAGATAGTGTTATAATTAGTTCAATTATCTTCCACTACTATCTGCCTCTCTAAGTTGTATTATAGAAATGGACATTTATAAATAACAATAGCTTTTGAGAATGAAAACATTAAGTTATATATGGAGGACAAGATGCGGGGCGAGACTAAGATGGTTCAGGCATGTGAAGAAGAGAGGCACAGATGTACCGGTGAGGAGGTGTGAGAGGTTTTCCTTGGACGGCAACGGAGAGGTAGAGGCAGGCCGAAGAAGTATTGAGAAGAGGTGATTAGGCATGATATGACATTGCTCCAGCTCGCAAAGGACATGATCATAGATATGAATGGGGTGGATGTTGAGAATTAAGATAGAGAGTTAAGTAGTCGAGCTTTGTCATTATTTGTTACAGTAGTTTTAGTACATCACTTAGTGTCTTTCGTTTATTTTTGTATTTTTAGACTTCTATTATCACTTGTTATTGCCTTCGTTCGATTTTTTAATTGCACTACCTAGTGTTAGTTTTGTGTTTTCGCTTGGTCTTTTGATTGGTTTGCTTGTCATTGTCATTGCCCCTTCCCTTTATCTTTCCTGAGCCGAGGGTCTACCGGAAACAATCTTTCCCTTTAAAGTCTGTGTACACACTATCCTCCTCAGAAGCTCCACTTGTTAGAATATACTGGGTTTGTTGTTGTTACGGCAACTGCAATTTTTCCAAGCTCTTTCCAAGTTTACACTAAGAATTAAACTATAGTATTAATCTGGTGCAAATGCCATATGAAGGTGAAAATATTTCTAGATTTACCCGTAGTTGCTAGTAATCCAACTGAAATCCGAAATTTAAAAGGCAAAAATCAGTATTCGCCGATAAGAAATATCAAGTAGAGAGTGAGCCACAAGGTGACTTATCACATCATTGTTAGTCCTAATTAAATTATTGTATCTTACCGTTCCAACTCTACTTTTATTGACATACAAAATCAGAATTTAGTGCATCTAATTTATTTTAAGTAATTATTTATGACATATATTTTTATATTGGTGATATAATAACGGTATAATAAATACATATGACCATTGACCAAGCCTATGTGGAAGTGGCATAACTGACATGGTTAAATTGTGCGCAAATCACGCTACCAAGGCGCGTGGATAGTTTTATTTTTATTAAAAAAATATTAGAAATAGAATAAAATATAAATGAGAAAGAAAAAGAAAAAAGACCTTTCTCTTTTTCCCTCCCCTCCCACCTCTCTCATCTTCCCAAGCGAACTCCCACCCCTTTCCCGTAAATTTTTTTCATTTTCTATCCTACTTTCCCTCCCCTTCCCCCCTGTCTTTTTCCCTTTCTCTTCCCATTCAATAATTTTTTCTTTTATTTGCTACTCTCCACTCACCTTTCTCGTCCCACCCTCCCTCAATTTCTCTTTAACTAGTACCTCCATCCATTATTCGTTGTCATCATCCCCCTTTCTCTTCTTCTTTCTTTTCCATTTCTCTTCTTCCTTCTATAGTACACCTAATTATAGATTGCAAATGTGAATTGAGAAAAAATTAGGTTGCTCTGATACCGGTGGCATTTAGTGAAATACTTTGAAATAAATATTTGTTGGCTTCTTGGATGATTTAGATTGGTGGAACAACAATAAATTTTACTGGAAAAGGGTGGGTGAGGGGGGGGAGGGATGTGATTCAATGGTAGATGATTATGATTTGAATACGAAGCTTTCATGTAAGAGGAAGAAGATGATTGTGGTTGAAAATGACTGAGGTTTGGAGTTGTTGGTGGGCTATTGGCTGCGTACAGTGGAGAAAAAGAGAAAGAAAAAGAAATTAAAAATTTTAAGGATTATTTTTTTTAATAATATAGGACCCACAAATCCACATGTCATGTAATAAAGACCAAATATGTGACATAACATTCATGTCACAGCAATTGGCGAACACGTTCAATAGAAAGTGTTTATTAGTATCTATTTCGTCAAGTTGGAGTGTTCAAATGAAAAAAATGTAAGTTCATGTATCAGGTTTGCTAACTGGTATAAGTTTAAGTGGTCAGGAGACCATTTGGGCATAATTTTATGTTCACTTAGTATTATTGGTGATATATACTACTATTCAATTAGAATTTCGAGTGCATCAACTAAATTTAATATGTAAGCATTAAAATTAATTGAGATAATAGGATTAGTTTACGGACATCAATGAAAGTAAAATTTTTAATTAAGGGTAATTTAGTTAAAATACTTTTTTTCTTCAGGAGTTAGTATTTTCTTAAGGGGTATATCAAAAGCAAAAGTGTCACTTATTATGGATCGAAATGAGTACTACTTTTCTTGAAGTAAATTACTATAAGATTTTTAAAAGAATTAGAGATCTTAACCGTAATTTATTTATTTGACTCTTGGATAGTCAATTTTTTTTCCTTAAGAGACTGTTTTGGTACTGACTGAGTATTTGAGAATATAAGTGACATTTTACTATAAGTAGAATTAAGCTTGAAAGCATAACTATTGGAGTACATGATAATTAGATAATCATGAAAGAATTTGACTATATCTGTTTAAATAAAATTTGGATAATAATGGATAAATAACTAACACATGGTTATTTTTCTTGTAATTAGGACTATAGCGGACTACATAAAAAAGTTTATACTATTGTAAATTGAGAATTGCATTCAAAAGTTTTGAAGAAAAATTAATTTTTTTCTTAGGATTTAGTTCAAACACCTTTTGACAGTAATCGAAAGCTCCTAAACATTGTCGCTTATCAATATTTATTTTTCGGTTTGGATGGATTTTCTAAAAAGAAACCGAATTAATTAAGTTATTTTTTCTTTATGTCGGATTTTGTCGGTTCTCAAACCAGCCCTACTCACAGGTAAAAATGGCGGCATCGTTGAGATGGGTATTGCAGCTACACAAGGACGTACCAAAAGCAGCAAGATTCTACTCAGAGGGCTTAGATTTCACCATTAATGTCTGTACTCATAGATGGGCCGAGCTCCAATCTGGGCCCCTCAAACTTGCTCTCATGCATTCACCCAGGTCTTTTATTTTTATCTCCCTTTTTCCAATTTTCCTGAATACCCATCTAACCAAACAATTGTTATTTGATCAATATGTGTTGAAGTTCACATTTTTGGGTTCTGGGGTCGGGTAGTTTAGTGTGGTTATATTTGAAATTTTAGTGGTTTTTGAGAATTTCCTGTATTTTTTCATTTTCTCGGATACCCATGTAATCAGACAGCTGATTTTCGATCAAGATGTGTTAAAGTTCACATATTGGATTTTGGGGTTGGGTAGTTTAGACTTTAGTGTGGTTATATTTGCAATTTAGTGGTTTTTGAGAATTTCTGTATTTTTTTCATTTTCTTGGACACCCATTTAACCAAACAGTTGATTGTTGATCAAGTTGTGTTAAAGTTCACATATTTGGGTTCTGGGATTTGAAAGTTAGTTGGTTTTTAAGAATTTCAGGATTTTTTTCCATTGCAGCTGTTTCGCCCCATCCAAAAGGGTAAAATAGCAATAACTTGTTCGATTAATCCTCTAAACATTACAGCTGATGATTATGATCTTTTAGAACCAGCTGTAAGGGATCGATTGGATTTTGGGGTTGGGTAGTTTAGACTTTAGTGTGGTTATATTTGCAATTTAGTGGTTTTTGAGAATTTCTGTATTTTTTTCATTTTCTTGGACACCCATTTAACCAAACAGTTGATTGTTGATCAAGTTGTGTTAAAGTTCACATATTTGGGTTCTGGGATTTGAAAGTTAGTTGGTTTTTAAGAATTTCAGGATTTTTTTCCATTGCAGCTGTTTCGCCCCATCCAAAAGGGTAAAATAGCAATAACTTGTTCGATTAATCCTCTAAACATTACAGCTGATGATTATGATCTTTTAGAACCAGCTGTAAGGGATCGATTGGATTTTGGGGTTGGGTAGTTTAGACTTTAGTGTGGTTATATTTGCAATTTAGTGGTTTTTGAGAATTTCTGTATTTTTTTCATTTTCTTGGACACCCATTTAACCAAACAGTTGATTGTTGATCAAGTTGTGTTAAAGTTCACATATTTGGGTTCTGGGATTTGAAAGTTAGTTGGTTTTTAAGAATTTCAGGATTTTTTTCCATTGCAGCTGTTTCGCCCCATCCAAAAGGGTAAAATAGCAATAACTTGTTCGATTAATCCTCTAAACATTACAGCTGATGATTATGATCTTTTAGAACCAGCTGTAAGGGATCGATTGGTTTATGGTTTGGAATAACTAGTTCCAGCATAAAATAATACAGTGTTTAATTGGCTGCCTAAAAAGAAAATAATGCAGCTTTGGTTGATGATGTTTAAGGAGATTAACATTGACTCGATTGAATTCTTTTTTCACCTAATGTGCTAGTAATTTTGCTATTGGCATGTCTTTTTAGATCATTGGTTAATATACTTTAAGAAAAAAAAAGAATTTTATCTTTCGTTAGAGTTAGTTGGATAGAAAATCTTTTGTTTTTACATCATAGTGAGTTAAATATTTGCTGTGTTAGCTTTTGATCAAGGAATAACATATGGCCAATTCTGACAGGAAATTTGGTTTAAGAGGAGGAATAATAAAATCAACTCCTATTGGACTAGGCATTGTAGATTAATGATAACAAGATTGGCTTCCAATCATTTCTTTTACTGATGTCAAGGCTACTCAGTGAATCTCCTTTGATAGAGTATAACTCCAGTTCAGTGTGTATTAGGATGATTTGCCATTTGATAGAGTTTGTACTTGTCAAGATAAGGTCGAGTTATGATAAACCTCAACTCTTATGGCGTCACCCTTACAGTCCTGGATATGCCTTCAGCTTCGTCAAGAATTCTGTTTAGTTTGCATTTGAACATATGGTAGCGTAGTTTGATATCATTGGCTTACTGTATTCTGTGGCTTGTATTCAGCTGCTTTTTAAGTCATTGCTCCTCTATCCAATCATCAGATCTTAATATATGATCTCAGGACCCGAGAATGTGTGTGATGGCCCTACGGTCCTTTTTCTTTTTTGTTCTTCTGTCAAAACTTCATTAAGTAGCCGATTGACAATATTGCGTGCAATAGTTTTAAGTTTTAGCCTGCAGCTCAAACTGGCACAACTATGACAATTATCTGTCTTTGCTTACTGATTAAAATTAGTTTGTATCAATTGGTCGCTCTGTTCCTGTTTGTGATTCTGATTTTTTTGTTAATGAACATCATACAACTGGTTAGCTGCTAACTTTAGTTTTACAGTGACGTTGTTGTGCAGAAGGGATACTCATCCCTCCTGTCCTTTACAGTTGCTGATATAAATAACTCAGTTTCTAAGCTATTGGCTTTAGGTGCTGAGTTGGATGGCCCCATCAAATATGAAATCCATGGAAAGGTAACCAAAATTTCATAAGGTTATTCGTCTACTCTTATTGTCGCTTTAAGTCATTAGCATCATTGTTATTGTAGTAATATTATTATTGAATAATCTGAACTATTTATCCTAGTTGCTAGCTGTGCTATTCTGTTTCACGACTCTGGCATTCTTTTTCTTTTTCCTTTTTTAGCATAAAAAGAGATTGCAATTTGATCTGCTGCTCTAAACCATTATAAGTTGAACGGACATAAGTTTCTTTCCCGTGTTATAAAGCTGTGTTATTGCTTAGGATTGGTTCATATCTATATGGTTTGCTTATAGTTGTTAACTGGCAATCTATTACTGGTTTACGCTTGTTGTCTACATATTGATTCAGAATTTTGTGCTGCAATCAGCATTAGTTTACAACCATCATTCATAAACCGTACATGGCTCTTGTAGGTTGCTGCATTGAGGTGTGTGGATGGGCATATGTTGGGTCTTTATGAGCCGTCCTAAGACTTTCTTTGAGAACCACTTGAAGGTAAATAGAATCGCGACTTCTGTTACAAGGCAAAATGGACAAATTTTGCAGTTGGGTATTGTTGAAAGAGAGATTTCAGTCTTGTTTCATGGAAGTGAAGCACTTCACAACAAGAGAGAGGAGAGTCATTAATTGTTTACAGCAAGAGACAAGCCATTACACTAGTTGAATTCTTCTGTATTTGTTTTGATGATCCATTCTGGTTAATTAAACTAAATACTCCTGTATTCGAACATTCCGAATCATTGTGAAGTATAGAATGAAATCTCTATGAAAAGGATGTAAAAAATAAGGACTGAATGCTGAACCAGTTTCCACCATTTATTATTATTATTATTATTTCTTATCATTAATCTTGTTTTTTTTTAAATCTTGTTTCAAAATAGTATTTGAGTTTTAAGTTTTTTCAAACTGAAGTTACTAGTAGTTCAATGGATTAATGATATAGAAAAGCACGACATTTTCACTGTTGAGAATTTAACTTTATACATATCAAATGTAACATTAGCAATTCTACCAGTGAGTTCACTTGATCCTCAACTTTTAGATAGTTATCAAAATATAACCTAGCTAATGTGACATCCTAAATAATCATAAATTTTAACTGTTCAAGATCAATAGTCTGAAAATAACAAAAAAGAAAGGATGAGTACACCAAAAAGAGATAATTAGAAATTTCATTGACTCAAAAAATTAGAAGTTACATGATTGATCTCCATGCAATCATATAATAATCATTAATAAATGACTTGTCATTACATTATAGTATAGTAGAGTTCAGCTTTGCTTGACAAGCTCAAGATCTTTTGAATTTCAATTTTTGTTTTTAGCTACCTATCTTCTCTTCCCCATTGGTGAGTGCAGCCTCTAGCAGATTCAATGCAGCTGCAATGGGTTCTGCATTTCGTGCGAAGGGTATCCCTGTCGTCCAGATATTATCACTGAATTCAACTTGAAACTTTGTGCTCTTTTTCGAGGTTTTCTAGGATGTCAATGCATCTCTTGAGCAAAGACTTAGCATGCTCATTCTTTTCCACATCATAGACTTGCACAAACTCGCGGCTGACTGCCACTTCTCCACCAGGCAACTGTCCAGTAGCTTTCAATAAGTTCACCATTTCCAGAAGGCACTCTGAAGCTGCAATGTGAACCTGAGTTTGTGCACGGATAGAATGTTTTAGGTGCACAATCAACTATCAAAATATATATATAACTCGATTGAAAAAATATCACCCCCAGAACTAACAAACTGAGCAAGAAACCACAGGATATCCTTTCCTTTCCCTTAAAAAAAATTTCTATGATTGCAAATACTAGTCATAAAAATGTCTGCTATAACTTGATTGAGCTTTTGCCAAATGGATGATGAGATCAGAGTTCATTTCAGCATCACTCACGTTTCTGTTTCAATGCAGAAACTGCTAAATGGTGCTGTGGGAACCTTGTGGGATCAGAAAGGATGTCAAATCCACAAAAAGGTTACTAACTTCTATCACCATAGAATAAGATTGGGGGACCAGAAGATAGGACCGCTGAGAAACAAGTATACAACCGCGATCTATTCTTAATTGATTCTAACCAGCAGGGAAAATTAGCTGAATTGGTGAAGTGAGGAGGATGATATCGCAATTCGCAACTGGAAAAAAGTGAAGGTAGGAAGAGACACCAACATGAAGAGAGCTCCATTCAATGTAACAGCGGACAATCAGGTGTAGATAGTGGACGAGATGAAATAATACTAATGACACATCTGAAAAGGGAATACATTTTCTTTCTGATAAGCTTAACAGTATAGTGAAGATGACATACCTGAGCAATTTTTACTGTTTGTATAATTTCAAGTACTTTCACAGAGGTTTTGCAGAACAACTGGAAGTGACAGAAGAATTTCAATTAGAATCCAGGTACACTAGTAAGGGCATAAATGTAACTTTGGGATATGAATCACCTCATGAACAAAAGCAATTATGCTGGTATATTGAGAAGTATCCTGAGAATCAACAGTCTCTGTGTGCAGCTTTGAGCATAGCTCCTTAATTGAGGAAAAAACAGACACTTTAACTGCAGAAAGGAAACAAGCATATCAGGACAGGGAAAACTATTACTCTCTTGATAAGGATAAAGAATGTTATGAGGGGCATACCTGCCCATGGAAAGTTAGGTGAAAGTGAAATTAAGAAAAAATCAATCAAGTTCTTCTGCTGTTGAATAATATCAGTTGCGCGTGCTATGTAAATGCTTGCTGTTACACAATTTACTATCTTGTCATGTGCAGAAGAAAAATCCTCGTCGTCTCCTGAAAATTATAAAAAGACATAATCAGATAAATCATTTCTCCATCTTTTCCTTCAGAGACCTATAGGAATCATGTCTCCATCTTTTCCAAGGGTCTACCAGAAACCACCTCTCTACCTTGTGACCTCTCTACCTTCACAAGGTAGAGATAAGGTCTATGTAAATACCACTCTCCCCAAACCCCACTTGTGGGAATGCGTTGAGTATGTTGTTGTTGAGACCTATAGCCTTTATAAAAATTGTTTTTGGGGTGTGTGTGTGT